AGGTAGCTTTTTTCCTCCTCCTTACCTTAGCTCCTTTATCTGCTTTCTACTATTCCCTTCACCGAAGCACTAAAGGAACAATAATGTATCCAAAAGGCAACAGAGTGACCTTTACTAGGAAATTCAGACCTAAGAGCCAGGCCCTGTCCCACACGTATTTCTTAGCAGAACACTAACATCGGGAGGTTCTTTCTGGGAAAGGGACAGTGGCCTCCCAGAATTTTCCCTAAACTAGTGCTGGTCCCACCCTGACCTCTATCACTTTTTTGGATCCTTTGTTCTCCAGGCCCAGCTTTACCAAAGGCACAGTTGCTTGTTGTTTTAAACCACAAAAACTCAAAGTGCTTTGTGGTCATCCTACAGATTCTGAGGGCACAGAGACACTTTTCTACTAGAGACAGATTCTTGGATTTGAATTTAAGTCTTTTGTCATCTGATGATTATTCTCTAAGGGCTTGTACTTTGTTTATTTCACTTCCATAACCTAAACCTAACATCAAGAGAAGGAATCTCAACTTTCTTTTAGATGAGTAAACTACTCACTAAACTTGAGTTGATTCTCGGGGGTTTAACTTATATACCCAGAAGTTCTAGTTTAAACTGGGTTCATCACCCTCCAGTGAAACGAGCCAAAACAAAGCCTGACCCTTCCTCTTGTTGGCAAAAGGAGAGGAAGACAGCAACAGTGACACTACTCCTTCCTGACAATAATTCAGAGACAACCACCTCGTATTCAGATATGAGGCTTTTTCATGTGAAGAGAGCAATGATGGTGTATCTGGGAATTGGCTACAAGAATCTGGGGAGAGCTTCAACTGCACAAACTAGCTGTAGGCCATGGAATGCTTGCTCAGCTAATTAGCACCTGCTGCTCACAGAGACCATTCATCCAACAGACTGGCCATGAACGAGATGATAGTATCAGCGGGTTCATGCCCCAGAGAGCTTTGCTCATCATAACATGAGCTACATCCTGTTCAGGAACCATTCCTTTTGTTGAAGAAACACTGCAGTGTAATATGACAAACATTTCCCCATCACAAGTAGGGATTTGCCTAGAAAGATCTGTATAAATCATGTACTAGGAAGGGCAAGAAATCACTGAAACTAGACTCATTTGAGCCTTTTAGTTATGCTGGTATATCTGCCTGCTCCCTATACACCTCAAAGGCCTCTGATGGCTGGTTTTCATTGTTCAAATTCCCCCATTCTATGCAAGGGTAGAATTACCTGTTTATAGTAACAGCGATTACTATATACCTTGGAACTGGGTAGACTGAGCTCTGAGTATGCATATCTAGTTTAGAGAGAATTTCTCCTACCTTCAAAAAGCCAAATTCTGCTCCAATTTCATATCTGAATAACGCATCTCAGCCTCTGGAAGTTGGGAATGGCAGCTGGAGGAAATCAAGTCACATAACTCTGGTTGATTCGAGAGGGGAGCCTAACTCTGGAAATTCCGCACAAACTCAGAAAGAGAATGGTACATCCCCTCCTCCCACACGTCCACCTCATCTGTTCTGTTGAACATGCACAAACAAGACACAGCAGTTTAGCATGCTGCTACTGAAAGAGTGAGTAATGGGCTTCTAGGAAACAGGCTGCTAGTGGCTAAGAGGTCATGAGGATGCAGATAGAACCAGAGGAAGAAGGTGAGCACCATGTGCTCTTGATCAGCATTAATGAGGCTATGGCTTTAAAAGAAAAAAGCCACCACCTTCAGCCTACTCCCCTTGGCCTCTGAAAAAGCACAGCAAGATCCTTACCTACAATCAGTGGCCAGCAAGCTGCTGAGCAGCCACCGTTGCTGGCGTTACCTAGAAACCTTTTGGGGATCTAGTGTCACTTTGTGTCCATTGTCTGCATATTTCTTTGATCCAGAAAACCTCCTGGATTTGACTCATACAATCAGACCTATTCCTTCAGACTTCTTGTCAAAACTGTGAAAGAATTTTGCTTCTCTTTCAAAGCTGTTCTTCTGGTCTCACACTCTAACCGTAGCTATGGAGAAGCTGACAGAACCTGTTTCCATAAAACAAACACAATCCCTCCCAGTTACTGGTATAACTCGGTGTATTTTCAGCCCAAGAGTCTTCTGGCATCTGATCTGAAGGGGGAGGCAGCACGGAAAGAACCTTGGACTTGGTATCAGAAGAGCCACCAGTCACTGGCTGTGAAACCACAGGCAGGTTACTTAATTTCTCTGAATTTCACTCTTTTCAATTTCTAGAGATTCATTCTCTTAACTTGTAAAAGGTATCGTTGAGAGTGACATAAAATGTGAACACACGGAACTCACGAGGGCCACATCTCTGCTGCCACTCTTCACAGTGCTAAGTATAACTTCTTTCTCCCTCTTAGTGTTACTTCTCATGCCTCAGAGTCAGTTTCCTTCCCTTCCCAACATCTCAGAACTCAGCCTTCCTCTTTTCCCTCAGTGCTAACCCTCAGTACAAACACAAGTCCTTTACCCTCCTGGGCCAGAGTTTTCTTTTGCCAGGATCATCACTTTACTACACCTTCTTCTATCATAGCTCCATATCCAAAGTAAAAGTGCTTGCTCAATACATTGTATGGCCTTTGGAAGCTCCTGTCTATCGTCTGTAGTGCTGTGATGTAGGCTGCCCTCTGATGAAACTATAGCTTTTATGGTGTTACATCATCTCTATAGAAACTGTGTTCTTTCTCCATTATTAGCCTGTTTCCTCATCTGTAAAGCTAAAAATACTTACCTCACAGTCTGGTTGTAAGGATTATTTTAGTCAAGTATGCAAAAAGCTCAGCGATGGCTTTGGCCTACTCTAAGTAATCAGCAAAAGAAAGCTATTATCTTGGTCTTTGTACTGAGATGTATGTTCACACCTTCTGCTACCACAGTCCAGTTTTCCCGACTCTCCCCATCAAATACTGTTAAGCTAGACGGCCCACTCTGCAGCGAAGAAAGGGTTAATCTCTGAGTGTTCTTAACTAAAGAGACCCACAGAGGATTAACAGCTCCACTTCAGTGACTACCCTAAAATAGCTTTTATCCCTCCTGCCCAAGAGCTACTTGGGGATCTGAAGAACTCAATTCAACACCTGCCTAGGAGGAACACACCCAGAAAGGTTCTTGGAGGTGGAATCTACCCTCAAAAGAACTTAAAATAGCAACTGGGAAATTATAAATAGCATTAAAGGGGAAAAGAAAACAAAACAGGCCTTGACCTGGGCAAGAGAAACAAATCCAAGGCATACTGGTTGGCTGGAAAACAGCAAGAAGGAAAGGAGGAATGGGAAGAGCTGCCCACTTCCCAAGGCCAGCACACACACACACACACAACACTCCCGGAATGGTGGGAGAATTAAATTACAGGGAGGCCTGAGCGTCTCAATGACTTGCATCATTCCAAGAAACATCAAACAGGATTAACAGGGGTAGGATTTACTCTCTGGCTGGTAGTTCTTCTGTCAGTGTAGATGGGCCTCTTTGGAGTCCCTTTGATTCCCTATTTCCTCAGATTCCCGCTGCCTCCCACCCCTGGGGAGGCCTTGAGCAAATGGCTGCAACTCATTCCAGTCTCATTTTCACTAACCACTCCTCCCCAACTTAGCAGCCTTTTCCTCAGGAGGAGAAGGTTAGAAACCCAAGGCCAGACTTATCACAGCCCCAGGCTGACAGGTGGAAAAACACACAAGTCAGGAGTCGGTATGCGTGCAGGTAAAAGCACAACTTCAAACAGCAGCCAGGAACACCGCCCGTCCCTCCACCCCCACCCCCAATCTGTCCCAAGCTGGACCGAAGCATGGGGCTGAAGTTGTAGGAAAACAGTCTGGCTCTTAGGCCAGCAGAAAGACCACCCTATTTTGTGGTGTGAAATGTTAAATTCTCCCCACGATTGGAAGATGGAAGTGGAGAGGAGAGACGGGAATTCAGTAAGTCTAAAATGTCTAACAGGATCGGGGTTGGGAAGAGCAGGCATGCACGGTGAAGAATTACGAGCACGTTACGTGGGTCTCTAAGAGACCACCATGGGAAAGAGATAGGGAGATTCTAAAGGTCGAAAGAGGGCTCCACAGCGAGTTCTCTGAATTTCAAAAGGGTGTAGAAATGGGACCCTCCCGAAGGAAAATGCCTAAAGTTTCCACAGAATGATCTCTGAGAAGAGAACTTCAGGTAGAGCTTTATTTGGGGTTCTTCAGCCCGCGGTACTGCAGAAAAGCCTGAAAGCAGGTTTATGAAAGTCTGGAAAACGAAAGAACTTAGAGCGGACTATTTGGAGCAGGAAAAGGAAGGTTATGTGGGTCGGGGTAGGCGTGTCCGAGGGTGGGAGCAGGTGCAGCTTATCTATGCCCCCCAGACCGCGATCCCGGGGAAGGTTAGCTGCGTGTTATCTGGGTCTCCAGGGAGTCTGGGGGGGGTCCTGACTAGGGGACCCTCAGGCTGAGTTTCCAGGTCTAGGAATGGAGGGAGCCTGAAAGGCTTGTTCCGGTCCCCTGGGCACAGGTCTCAGGACCAAGGAACGTTTTCGTCACCACGGGGCCTATCCAGGGCCCGGCTAGAGCAGAGGGGGCCCCCAGTCAGGGGTGTGGGCGACCGCGCTGGGCGGCCCGAAGTGAGGGGCGCCGCCGCTCCGAGTGCCGGGCGTGTGGGCGCAGCGCGACGGCCTCCCGCCCCGCTCCCCACCATCCCCCAGGACCCTCGCCGGCACTCACTGCGCTCGGGACCCCGCGCTGCGGGCCGGGCCGCGCTCGGGCTCCGCCAGGCCCGCTCAGGCCCCGGTAGTGGCGGCGGTCGGGCCATTGTGCGGTGCATTGTGGGAGCCGCGCGAGCGGGCGCTCGGGTCGTGGAGGGGGCGGTGCCGCGGGCTCTCTATGGTCCCGCCCGCCCGAGGGCTAGAGAGGCCCAGCCGGCGCGCGGGCGGCGCGCGGGGAGCGCTGGGAGCGGGGCGGCCACTCGCGCCTCTTCTTCACCCCCCCTCCCCCGCCTCCCGGTCACGGCGCTCTGGGGCTCTGCCGTCGACATGGGCGCCGCCGCGTGGGCACCGCCACACCTGCTGCTGCGGGCGTCTTTCCCGCTTCTGCTGCTGTTGCTGCCGCTGCCGCTCCGCGGGCGGTCGGCAGGCTCCTGGGACCTGGCCGGTTACCTGCTCTACTGCCCTTGCATGGGTAAGGCCTCCCGAACCCTCTGCTTAAACGGAGAAACTGAGGTCGAGGAGGCGGAGCCACTTCTCTGAGGCGCCCAGACACTTCTCAAGTCCAGGAGAGACCTCTAGAGAGGGGCAGGGCGTGCTCTTCCCTGCCCTACTTGCCTGGGTACAGAGGACCCATTGGTGTTCAACTTGCCATTCGACAGATGGGAGAAGTTAAGTGACTCACTCGAGGTCTGATTAGACTGAGATCAGTAAATGGAGTTTGTAGGGCAAGACTTGCTCTTGTCTCATGGCAGTTCTTGCATTCATTCAGCAAATAATTTATTTATATGGCACTTTTTTTTTGTCCCAGGTGCTGGTTTCTGTGCTGGTGGTGATGAAACAGATAAATCTCATACGAACCTTTATAGATCCTTCATTTTAGGAAGACAGACAATAAAACGTTTTTTTTTTTAAAGTGCGTGCAGAGTTTGTACAAGATGATTAAAACTGGGGTAATAAAAGACAACAAAGGACTCCTAAGAACCAGCCGAGGGATGCAATTTAAATGCAGTAGTGGATCGTCCTCATAAAATCCGTCCCTTCTCTCAACCTTTCAGTAGTTTGCATACCTGACCAAGGCCATGTTTGATGGCCTGACCTTGCAAGATTTGGCTCTACTCTGGTCTTCACACCCCTTCTCCCATGGCCCTCTGGCTACAGCCATGGTAACCTACTTTCTGTTATTCTTCTTGGAAGACCTTCCTCTAATTTCTGCTAACTCTTTCTCATCCTTGAAGTCTCAACATAAGTGTCACCAAAGAGGACTCCATTGACCTCTACTCCTCATTTCCTTAGTCTCCCTGTCACCAAACCTTTTCATTTTTTTTCCTTACAATCATCAAAATCTATAGTAATGAATTTGTTTTCATGTTTAGTGTCTCCTAACCTGAATAAGAATAGAATGCCTTGAGAGCAGAAATCTTATCCTTCTGATTTTATATTGTAATGTCTAGCATAGTACCTGGCACATTGCAGCCTTACAGTGTTTGTGGAATGGATGAATGGATGCCATACTGATGATAGTCAAATGTGGTTTCGTATAACTTCAATCTCAGCACTGGAAGCCAGAGGCAGGTGGAATTCTGTGTGTTTAAGGCCACCCTGATCTTGATCTATCTACATAGAGAATTCCAGAGTAGCCAAAGCTACATAGTGTGACTCTGGCAAAACAAAACAGAACAAACAAAAAACCAGATAGACCTTTGTATTTGAAGCATTCATAGCCTGAATAAACAGCCAAATGCAAAAAGCCAGAAAATGAAAACAAACATGTAAATAACTGAAGATACGGTTATAGCTCAGTGGTAAAGCATTTACCCAGCATGTCTGAGATCCTAGGTTAAATCCCTAGCACATAAATAAATATCCAATCTGATTCACAGCTGTAATTCTATCATGTAGGAGGTAGAGGCAGGAAGAAAGATGGCTACAAGTTCAATGACAGCCTGGTCTACAGAACAAGTTCCAAGACTACACAGACCCTGTCTCAAAAAAAAAAAAAAAAAAAAAAAAAAAATGTAACTCCAACCCATGCTGAGAGGAGGAGGAATGGGTAGGAGTTTTTTAAAGTGTCTTAGCAAATGAAGCATCAGGGTCACCTCTTCATGTGCACATAAGTGGAGACAGGTCAAAGGACACTCCTGGCAAAGATGGCAGGTAGAGGGATTATAGAGCATGTTAGAGAAATAGCATGGACTCTGGGGTGGTGGTGGCAGAAGGACTGAGACCTACAGGGCATCAAATGTCAAACTTGGAAGTCTGGACTTTCTCTTCTGTGCCAGTGTTACTAGCTCAGTGTGTTACTTGGCCTTCCCCAGTCTTGATGCACATCTTTGCCTCAGTGCCCCAGGCTGCCCTACCCACAATGTACCATTTCCAGGGCGCTTTGGGAACCAGGCTGATCACTTCTTGGGCTCCCTGGCATTTGCAAAGCTGCTGAACCGCACCTTGGCTGTACCTCCGTGGATTGAGTACCAACATCACAAGCCTCCCTTCACCAACGTGAGTACTTCTGCTGACCTTGGCCCCTGGCCACCGTTCCTCATGATTGCTGACTTGCCTGACTCCAAGGCCTCTGGGATTTTCCTCTTCTCTACCTAAAACTGTCTTCCTTGAAATAGCAATAACTAGCTTTTTTTTTTTTTTAATCAAACACCTGTCATGTACTGGCATTGTCTGAACACTAGATGAGGGAGGGTTAGCTCATCCTACAGCTAATCCTCAAGGATACCAAGGTTTAGAGAGGTGAAGTAACTTGCCAAAGATTGCACAGCTTGTGGGTAGCAGAACTTGAATTGAACCCCAAGGCTGTCTACTTTAAGAGACTGTCTTGAAACTACAGCCTCTATTTCCAATCCCAGTTCACCCTACCTTACAGATATTCTATTGGTCAGTAATAGGTGACAAGTGCTATTATCAATTTTAAAAGAGAGACTGAGGCATGGGCTAGCTAATAGTATATCAGAGGGACCCGGATAACAGCGTGACTCCTGTGCTGCCTCCTCCTCCCATCAAGGGGCTACCTGGGCATGATATGTGGCCTCTGATATTAGCTTATTCTTTGTGTCTTCCAGTAGCCCTGTGTTCCATTTGTTAACTGTATCCCCAGAGACCTGGATGTAGGAAATTCATATTTAATGAATTGATTTTAAAAATAAGTAGTTAGCAAAATTGAACTTAGTATGAACAAAACATTATATTTCACGCCAATGCCTTTTTTTTGCATAAATTTAATTTCTCTTTTGCATGTATACTTCTTTTTGGAGAGGCTTTCCCCTCCCTGCAGTGCTACAGATTGGATCCATGTTTTATAAATCCTAGGGAAATGCTCTACCAATCTGTACCCCGATCCTGAAAAGCTTGTTGATAGAAGCTGAAACCCAGACTGCAACATAACTTAGCCACTTCCTAATTGTATATCAAGCTACTTAACTTTCTGTGCCTCAGTTTTCTCATCTTTACAATAACCTGGGATGACTGGTTACCTCTCATGGTGACAACTGAATAGGTTACTGACAGTAAATTCCCTGACTGTGCCTCATGCCTTCCTCTTAAAACCAGCTGGGCTCCACAGTGTATAGAAGCCAGGACACAGGAAGTTCCTTGGCTCTGACCTGTTTGGCTTCACTGATAGACTTAGGTATTGCTGACTGGCTGACTTGCCGGCTTGCTGTATCCTCACCCTTTCGGCCAGTTGTCATATTGAGTCTCCACTTGTTTGCTTCCTGTGGGTGTCTCAGCCCATCTCAAGTGAGCTTCCCTTTCCTATAGTGACCGTTCTCACTGAGGTCTCCAGGGACCTCAGAATTGCCAAATCAAGGTTCATTGCTCAAGCTGTGTCTTACCTGACCACCCAGTGGCTCCTGGTCCTATGAGCCTCTCTTCTTCCTAAACTTCCCTTCTCCCCTGGCTTCCAGAGCATAGCTTATTCCTGTTCCAGTTCTGATCTTGGCAAGGTCACATTTTTGTGCCTTGTTTAGGGGCTCCTCTCTTCACCCGTGGTTCTGCTGGTGCATGTCCTCCCTCTGCTTGGTGTTAGCTCTGTGGCTCAGGTGAGTCAGCTGAGCTAGCCTTGTAAAAGGCTGAGTGCATGGTACCCGACACCACTTGAGCACTCAGTGACTAGGAGCTGCCGTTGTTACCATTACCTTGCATTTCTGTGGGCTCCTGTTGACTGGCATGACTTTCACTGTTCTCTTTACACCTCCAGTACACCTCTGGTATAGACCTCACACTCCTGTTTGTTTGTTTGTTTGTTTGTTTTTTCAAGACAGGGTTTCTCTGTGTAGCCCTGGCTGCCCTGGAACTCACTCTGTAGACCAGGCTAGCCTCGAACTCAGAAATCCACCTGCCTCTGCCTCCCAAGTGCTGGGATTAAAGGCTTGCGCCACCACCGCCCGGCAACCTCACACTCCTAATTCACACTTCTAGACACTCAGATCTGCTTAGTTGTCACAGATATCTCGTTTCAGAAAGCTGGACTGAACTTGATGTCTTTGTCCACAGACCTGTGTCACCATCTGCCATTCCAGCCTCAATATGTCCCGTCTCCATTCACCTGGGCACCAAGCTGGGACCCTAGATTTCGTTCTGAGCTCTTAAAGCCCCAGCTTCACCTTCTTTAGCATCTTGTACCTGTCTAGACTATTTCATCCCTCACTTAGATATGTGAGAGGTACATATTAACTCCACACTTAATAAGCTGGGTGTGGTGGCTGATGCCTATAGTTCTGGCACTTGAGGGGGCTGAAGTAGGAAGATTGCTTTGAGCTTAAGTCCAACCTAGGCTACATGGGAATATCTCCAAAAAATTTTTTTGAAATAAACCTAAGTGAATAAATAATACATTCATGAACAAATTCAAGGATCATTCTAGTAGCTTCATAGTTCCCTTCCCTCTTCTAATCTTAACTAATCAGTGCATTCTCTCCTCTCAGCATATAAAGTCTTCAAAAGAAGGCAGACCTTGCCAGATGGTGTGAAGGCCTCGATGTCTAGCACTTGGAGGGTGAGGCCGGCTGGAACTACAGACAAGTACGAGGCTAGCTAGGGCTGTATAATAAGACTATATCTCTTAAAAAGTTCCTGTTTGGTTTCAGAAATGCTATTCTCCACTCCCACGCTCCCAGACTTTAGCTTGAGAGTGTGCAGCAGCACAGCAGAGGCCTTGAGAAATCCTGCTGAGTAAAGAAGCCAGCTTAAAACACAGATGCCTAAACCTCCGCAGTTCTGCAACCTCCGTACTGCACCTGAGCTACTAGGATCTGCTTGGGACTCCAGAGACTATTCCATGGTGTTCTAAGAATATATTTAATCTTTTTGTTTTGTTTGGTTTGGTTTTGCTTTTGTGTGTAGTTTTTGTGTGTGTGTGTGTGTATGTGTATGGTTTTGGTGGTGGTGGTGGTGGTGTTTTTTTGTTTTGGTTTGGCTTTTTTTTTTTTTTTTTTTTTTTTTTTTTCTGAGACAGGAGTTCTCTATATAGCCCTGGGTGTCCTGGAACTGTCTCTGTAAACCAAATTGGCCTGTAACTCAGAGATCCACTTTCCTCTGCCTCCCAAGTACTGGGATTAAAGACATGGGACACCATTGCCCAGCCAGTTTTAGGTGGGTTTTTTGTTTTGTTTTGTTGTTTTTGGGTTGGGTTGGCTTTTTTTTTTTTTTTTTTTTTGAGATAGTTCATGTAACCCAGACTGACTTCAGATTTGCTGTATAGGTGTGAATGACTTTGAATCCCTGGTCCGTCTGCCTCTGTCTCCAAAATGCCAGGATTTCAGGCATGTACCTCACCTGACTGACTCAGAAGTTTTAAAAAATGTAAGAAATTGTGATGATGAGTATAGCCATCATCTCTGAGCCTGCCTGACTAGGAGTGGTCCTCATGAACATATTCTTCTCCTGATTGCTTCATCATTTCTATGTTCATTTTCTTTTCTTATTTTTCTTTTCTGAGACAGAAGTTTATGAAGTACAGGTTGGCCTCAAACTCCTGCCCTATCACCACCATCTCCAAGTGGATTACATGCATGCACCACTGTGCATGCCTTTCTGAGCACATGCATGCTTTTCTGTTAGGAAAAGAAACAAAGCATTGCAGGTAAAGTCAATGAGAAGTCTGCTAACTCTGGTCTCTCTCTCTCCTGGACTGTGTGATATGACCCCTACTTCTTTCCTGTGCTTCCACTAAGTCACTGATTGCTGTCCACATCTCCTGTAGAAAGTACCTGAGCCTCCACAGAGGGAGCACGTCACCCTGTGGGTATGGGCCCCAAGTAGCTGCTCCAAAGCTACAACTTCTCCTAGTAGCTCAGTGTTCTGCATTTGTTCCATTGGTTTATAGATAATCAGGCACTTTGAACACCAGAGATTCTGCTGTTTGTTTTTGAGCTGGAAGATGGTTTCTCTCTGTTTTTGCCCCAACTTGGCTTGTGCCTGCGGAACAGGGGTGAAGCCTAACGCCGCCACTTTGTTAGGCAGGCATTCTACCTCTGAGCTCTATCCAAAGCCCACTAACAGGTCTCTTATATCACATAGTCTGGGTCTTGGAGTTTACTGTTTCTAGAAACAAGAATACAGTGGAGACCTGGACCCTTCCTTTTTCTCCTGTAGCTCCATGTGTCCTACCAAAAGTACTTCAAACTGGAGCCTCTCCAAGCCTACCATCGGGTTGTGAGCCTAGAGGACTTCATGGAAAATCTGGCACCCTCCCACTGGCCCCCTGAGAAGCGGGTGGCATACTGCTTTGAGGTAGCAGCCCAACGAAGTCCTGATAAGAAGACATGTCCCATGAAGGTAGATCCTGTTCTGTGCCCTCTAGGCCCTTGAGATTACATGGTGGCAATATGTGGAGAAGATGGGGATTCTCTGTTTCTGGCACTTGTTAGCAGTGTCACCTTTTGTGTACTGTGCTTCTCTGAGCTATGTTTCTAGCTGGCTCATAGAGAGTAGGCTGTATGTAATAGCACCTTGGAGCTGAGGTGCTGTCAGAAATAGTAACTGATGCTCGAAGAACAGTGATGCTAGCAGCTGGGTACACATTTACTCCCTTACTCCTCACACTGTGAAGGAGGTGCTGATGATGTCCTTACAGGATAGAGAAGACTTGGGTGTAACTTGGCTTACTGTCCACTCTCTTAACTTGAATATTCTCCTCCTTCTCAGCAGGTAGATGAGGAGGTGCCATGGATCATGGATAATTAGTAGAAATTTGTGCATTTCTGGTACTTTGTGACTATGATATACCCCAACTATCTTTTGAGACAAGTGATAGAAAAGCTATAAATTTTGAGAAAAGACCTAGTTTGTGTCCCCGAACTGCCCTTACCAGCTGTCTGACCTTGGGCACATATCTTACCTTCTATGAGTCTAGTTTCATCTTGTAAAGTAGTATGCTGCATCAGCCTCTTAAAGCTCTAGTTCAGTGGTTCTCAACCTATGGGTTGCCTTTGGGTGTCAAATGACTCTTTCACAGGGGTCACCTAAAACCGTCAGAAAACATAGATATTTACATTATAATTCATAACAATAGCAAAATTACAGTTAATGAAAACAACTTTATGGTTGGGAGTCACCACAACATGAGGAATTGCATTAAAGGGTTGTAATGTTAGGAAGGTTGGGAACCACTGCTCTAGTTCATAGTTCCAGGATAGATTCCTTCAGACATTGCTGGAAGTCAACAGAGAAGCTGGAGCCCTGTCCTCAGGCCCAGCAGGTGTCACACCGTCCGTCTTCCAAGGTCCTTCTTCTCTGCAGGTTTTGGCCTCATCTCCGGGTTGATAAACTTTCCACCACTCTCTCTCTATAGGAAGGAAATCCTTTTGGACCATTCTGGGACCAGTTTCATGTGAGTTTCAATAAGTCAGAGCTGTTCACAGGCATTTCCTTCAGCGCCTCCTACAAAGAACAGTGGATCCAGAGGTACTTGGGGGGTGGGGGGGGATAGCAGTACTGGGTTTAGGAAGGCCTGGGGCTCAGGGCCATCCAGCTCCTTCCCAGTCCTTTCTCCTTCTACCCCGCCCTCTTGTAAGAGACCAAAGGTGCAAGCACTGTGTTCTGTCTGTTGAACTTAGGATCCTATGTGATCTGTTTCTATCTCATCGCCTGCCCCAAGGTTGAGCAAGAGTTTCTCGGCTGATAAGGGATGTCATAAAAAGAACATTACTCAGTCACATGCATGTCGAGTCTCTCCTCCAGGCGTGAGAATCGTTCCCCTTTTGTCTCCCTTTCAGCAAGGTGAAACTGGAAGCAGTGCCTGCAGAACAGCTCAGGTGCAGACTGGCAAGTGATGTCACCCTCATAATCACTAGCTAGGCTTTATTAATTGTGTGCTATAGGCTCTATTTAAAAAATAGGTTAACAGGACACAGGCACAAGCTGTGAAATATTTATGGAGCGTCTGTCATGTGTGAGACACAGTATTCAGAGGCCAAAGGTATATGAAAAATGAGGACAGCCCAGTCCTGGTCTTTGGAGAACCACAGTCTAGTCAGATAAACCTGTGAGAGAATCTGTTGTTGATGTTCTAACATGTCAGGAAAGAGCCTGGCTTAGATGTCAGAATAAGGGGTACTATAGACCTTGCCTAGCATATATGAGGTCCTGGATCCACTACCACAAAAGAAGTCAGATTAAAGACCAAGTATGATGGTGATCACCTTTAATCGAAGCACTTGGGAGGCAGAAGGAGGCAGATCTCTGAGTTTAAGGCCAGCCTGGTCTACAGAGAATGTTACAGGATAGCCACGGCTACATAGAGAAACCTTTATCTTGGAAGGGGGTCAAAGAAGGAGGAGGAGGAAGAAGAAAGAAAAAGAAAAGATGATGATGATGATGATGTTGTTGTTGTTGTTAGGGGGTTAGAAGAGCATGTGAATTGAAGGTGGTCATGACACTTGACATTTATCGGCCAGCAGTAGACTGCAGTAGACACAGGAGTGAATGCTGGCCGGAGTTCAGACCCAGCCTTGCCTCTTTCTTGGGAGACAGAAACTATTCCAGGTCTTTGGTTCCAGCGTCTACCTTGGTTTAATGAAAAGTGCACCAAAGTGTTTGTTTCCTATCATAGAAGTATATGGTGCATAGTGAGGTGTCGTTCACATGCTTTACTTTAATTATGTCTATAATGAATGTCATGAAATAGCTATTACTGATTTCATCTTGAGAATGTCGGGTTGATCTCAGGACCTGATACATGTTGGTAAGCCCACTCCCACTGAACTACCCACTCCTTCAGTCGTCAGTTTTACAGAAGGAAGCCTACTCATACATGGAAGGTTAAATGACTTACCCAAAGTGGTAGAGCTATTGCATTGCCAGCGTGGATCTTCATGTGAATCTTCAACATATTTCCTGCCTGCTGTATGCCACACTATTCCTAAGTCTTGGTAGGTTTAAACTAAGGATTAATGAATCTTTGAGATGGAATTGTCATCTAAGATGCATACATAAAACAGTGAAAGCAGAGGAGAGTGAAATCACTTGTCCAAAGCCATGAAGCTTGAAGTAGCGAGCCGCACAAGTCTGACTCCAAAAAAACCTTCCCTTTTTAAGACAGGGCTTTTGCTCTATAGACCAGGCTTACCTCAAAATCACCATGTAGCCAGGAATGTCCTTGAACTTCTGATCCTCCCGTCTCTGCCTCCCCAGAGCTGGGATTACTGGAAAAGTAGAGCTGCCACTCTGGGTTGAAGGTATAGTATTCAGTTGCTGTGTGGCTTTTTTTTCCCAGCTAGTATAGGAGCCACTTAGGCTACTCAGTTGAGAGTCTAGTTTCCTTCACTGCTGATCTCAGATAGCACTCTCCCATTTGATCACCTGCTGGGTCCTCCCACTTCATGTCTAAGTGACAAGCAGCATTGCACCACTGGAGGGTAGATAGGATAAAGATTTGTCCCTAATAGCTCTCCTCAGCCTTTTGGCTAAGGTGTTTAAGTATAAGATTTGTCTCCACTGAGAATGTGCCAGGATAAAAATATGTCACCAACACTAAAAGCAACACTGAAAGTAAATCACAAAGAGCCACACTACATATCTGATCCTAAGGAACGAGATGGGGCAGTACTTGTGCACCAGCACATCAGCTGGGGAGTGTCACTCAAGCATATCCACTGTTCAACCATCTTGTTTGAGTTTGCCATGTTGTAAGAACCATGTGATGGGCTGGAGTCGTTAAGAGCACTGGCTTCTGGTCTAGAGGTCCTGAGCGATTCCCAGCAACTACATGGTGGCTCACAACCATTTATAATGAGATCTGATGCCTCTTCCTTCTGATGCTCCCTTCTGTCATGCAGGCATGCATACAAATAGAGCATTCATATACATGAATAAATCTTGTGAGAACTTAAACTTATGCCTGATATTGAGGAAAAGTTGAAAATATAAAGCGCTAGCTTGAAGGAGTCAGAGCTCTCTAGGAGCCTGCCTAAGAAGCAGTTGCTGATTCTCAAGCATTGCTCTAGATCTTAGAGATACAGTGAGGCAGGTCAGGCTTCTGTTGATGGAGCTCAGCATCTAATGAGGGAAGTGCTGAGTAAACTTCCAGAGAGCAATTGAGCATGCTAAGGGCTTTGAAGGACATAAGGACATGATGTTTGACTGCAAGTAGTGGGACAGACTTCAAGGATGAAAAGGAACCAGCCATACTAAGATCTAGAAGTAAGTATTCCTCAGTAGAATAGGAGGAAGGTGACTCTTGGTAAGATGTCACAGAGGTCCACAACTTGGTATAGGCAAGGGACAGAAGAACATGTGGTTGGGATAGGGTAAGGAGAAGGTGGTAGTAATTGGCTGCATAGTAAGCCACAGCGAAATGTTCTGGCCTGGTAGTGTAGTAGTTACTGTTCACTGTCCTGTGGCATCCACAGGACTAATCCTGTGCTCAGATGGATAGTTTTTTCGGCCTGGGTGTTGTTGTTGGTTTTGGTTTGGTTTGGTTTTTGTTTTGTTTTAATTTTTCTTATTTTTCATTTTCTTTATAGAATCTGAACTATACAAAGTTCAAATCCAGGTTAACATTTAATTTCTTGGAATGAGTGGTCTAGAATATTCACCACAGACTAGATAGTTTTGAGTTTTTGACAAAGAAATAAATGTCTAGGCATGGTAGTTTATACCTGTAATTCCTAGGCTCAGAATGCTAAAACAGGAGGACCAGGAGTTCAAGGCCAGTCTGAGCTACATAGTAAGTTTAAGGCTAGGTTAGGCTACAAGAGACCCTGTCTAAAAACAAAACAGCAAAATTAAATTTGTTTATAATTCTACTGCTATAAAGAGTACCATTAGCCCTTTCTCTGTCCTAGAACTCACCCTGTAGAGCACACTGGCCTAGAACTCACAGAGATCCACCTGCCTCTACCTCCCAAGTGGTAGATTAAAAGCATATGCCACCTTCACCTGACTTCCCCCCTACATTTTTATGTACACACACACATGGTAACTAAACTAAACTAAACTAAACTAAACTAAACTAAACTAAACTTGCTGTGTTGCTCAGGCTGGTCTTGTACTTGTAAACAGTCATGCTAATGAAGTTAATTTCAAACATGAAAATATTTGAGTTCAAAAGAGTGACTAGCATTATATTATTTTTATTTATGTTAATGGAGTTTTGTTTGTTTGTTTTTGTGATTTAAGACAAGTCTGGCCTGCAACTTACTATGTAGACTAGACAGGCCACAAACCAATGTTTTTCCTGCCTCTGCCTTACTATGCTGGGATTACAGGTGTGCAACACCACACCCATCTCAGTGAGCTTTTTGAAAACCACTGTAAGAGTACAGCTCAGTCACATTAAGCACGTTGCAGTATGCAGCCATTGCAACCCTCTGTCTCCAGAACCTGCTCAGTAAAGGCTGATTTCCACTCCCGCTTCCCTTGCCCTGGTGTAAGGGGTTCTGCTTTCGCTATGAACTCACCCATTCTAGGGACCTCAGGCAATGGATGAACCCTCATGTAGTTCTTGCCTGTTTATGTCCAACTTGTTCACTTAGCATACTGTCTTCCGGGTTTGTTGGTATCAAGGCATGTTTTTGAGTCTCACCCCCTTGAAGGCCAAACAGCACAGTTTAGTTAGCCATTCATGTGTTTTGTCATCTTCCACGTGGATTCAGAGGATCCTTCCAGCTCCGCTGGTTCTCAGTCTACAAACTTCAGTTCAACAGATAAAGTTGTATGTTTATTTACTCTTGGAAGTATGTGGACTGTCGTGTTGAAATTATCCTCATGTATATAGAGTAGATGTCAGAGTATATGGTGTGCTTCCTGTCATTGACGAAATTCCTGAGAAAACAAACCTAAAGAAGGAAAAATTTGTCTTGGCTCATGGTCTCAAAGGCTTCAGCCCATTGTCACTTGATCTGCCATTTCCAGGCTTGTAATGGAGCACACATGGTAGGGAGCAGTTGGAATAAGGCAGCTCACAGGGTAGAAGCAGACAGAGCCGGGAGAGGGACCAGCAACAGGACAGTACCCTTAGGGCGTTCCCTCAGTGTCCTACTTTCTCCAGCTAAGCCATGCCTCCTAGTAGTCCATTCAACTAGGAATCAGTCCATCAGTGAATGAATCTCTTTTCAAGGTTGGAGATCTGCTGTTGGGCTCAGTGAACCTCAGGGGTACATCAGTGCCACACCGTGGCTACTGAGGTCCTCTAGGCTCACCACACATTTATAGGATCAGCAGATGAGTACAAAGGACACAGAGACACAAACAAGAGAGAGTATTGCTCTCAAAGTCTCTACCATGAAGGACACTTTCCCTCCTGCTTTTTGCATGGGAGCTCTGGGTTGGCCTTCAGGGCTTCATAGACTCAGCCCTATAGGTCCTGTCAACCACATATGTTCTCTATGTGTTTGCAGAGAGGCTAAAATCTGGGAGAATGACCAGCAATGTATTATGGTTTAGATATGAAACCCCTTTCAAAGGCTCGCATGTTGAAGTCTTGTTCCAATTCAGAAATGCCCAGAGCTGACTGAGCAGGAGATCTCCAGATTTGAAAAAAGATTTATTCACTGGTCAGGTTGGCTGGTAGTGTTGCTGAGGTTTTCTTTGCAACCAAGACCCTCTTCCTGTTGTCAGACATCACTGAGGGGAGTGAGCCATGGAGTTGTGACCTCTTGTTTGTTGCATGTTGAGTCACAGCTGATGTAGTCCTGCTGGGACCGCTTTGTGCTGGCCCAGGTCCAAGGCACAAGGATAAACATTCCAAAACTGAATTCACCAAGGGTCAGTTGCAGGCTCTTTCCAAGAGAACAGGAAGGGCACAGATCCTGATTTATCCTAGTAATTCACATCAGATCAGAAAACCTTTTCCTGTTAGAGGCCCCTGAAGTGATGTCTAATTTGAGCTTAGCCTCAGGCCTGGCCCACGGTAAGGTGATCAAGTACTATTAGGTCTTTCTCCTTTCCCCACTGCCATCATCATGCCCTGGTATTTTTATAGGGCCTGATCCCTCACATTCAATTCTAAAAATATTCATGGCACCTGTTGCCTGTGCTGGGGGCTGTGGCTCAGAGAAGCTTCGTATTTCTGTATTAGGAGACGCTCCTTAACTGGGCAGGAACATGAGAGTAAGATTTAGGAGTCAAGAACACAGCTAGTAGGACTGGTTAAGAGCTCTGGCTGAGCTGGACATGGTGGCTCCCAGCACTCAGGAGGCAGAGGCAGGTAAATCACAGCCACTCTGGTCTATGTAGTTAGTCCAGAAAAGCCAGAGTTACATAGTGAGGCTGTCTCAAAGGGATGGTAAAACAAGCGCCTGCTGCTTTTGCAGGTGACCCAGGTTCAGTTCCCAGCTCCCATATCAGGCAGTTTGCAACTGCCTGTCTAATCTAGTTTCAGGAGATTCAGCCCCTTCTTCTGTCCATAGGCCCACGTGTGATGCAGATTCATACACTTAGACACATATACATTTTTAAAACTTAAAAAAAAGTGAAGCTCACTGCTTGAATGCAAGCCCTGCTCCATCAGATCCCATTACAGATGGGTGTGAGCCACCACGTGGTTGCTGGGAATTGAACTCAGGACCTCTGGAAGAGCAGAGGGTGCTCTTAACCACTGAGCCATCTCTCCAGCCCAGCCTCTTTGTTTCTTTATCAGTAAGATAATAGTAGGCACACTTCCCTTAAAAGGCTTTTGTGGGAATTGAATGAGTTAATATGCAAATAAAGCAATTGCTTTTCACATAATATGATTCAGTACATTATTGCCATGTATATACATATAACCAAAACCTGTAAGACTCCAGCCAGACAAGCATCATACAGAGCCAGGCTGTGGAGGGACGCTAGCTTGCTGCCTCCATGGCATAGGCCTCTGACCAATGTCTGAGGAAATCATGGTAAAGAGACTGTTAGGGCCACTGTCCTTAGTGTTCTCCCATCCCGTGGCAGCAAAGGTGATAGCTGTTGAGCATGTCAGCATGCAGGAGAAGGAGCTGTTCCTGGGAGTGGTGACCTGTCTGGAGGCCCGGAAGGCATTTGCTGAATAATGTGTTTGTGTCAAGGTGAAGAAGGTGTGGCAGGCGTATCGCAGTTCCATGGTGTGAGTGGAAGATGAAGCGAGTGGCCTACTGACCAACAGATTTTATTCTTACAAACTGGGAAGTGTTAAGAGATGTCATCATTGGCTGGGCGGTGGTGCCGCACGCCTTTAATCCCAGCATTTAGGAGGCAGAGGCAGAGGCAGGCGGATTTCTGAGTTCCAGGCCAGCCTGGTCTACAGAGTGAGTTCCAGGACAGCCAGGGTTACACAGAGAAACCCTGTCTCGAAAGACCAAAAAAAAAAAAAAAAGGACGTCGTCATGACCCTGTGGTCTCCATAATCAATATGGTCCAATCACCAAACATAAAGTTACATTTCTTTGTGGTTTGGGTTGTTTGTTTGTTTGTTTTTTGGGTTTGTTTTGTTTTTCGAGACAGGGTTTCTCTGTGTAGCTCTGGCTGTCCTGGAACTCACTCTGTAGACCAGGCTGTCCTGGAACTCAAAGAACCACCTGCCTCTGCCTCCCTGATGCCGGGGTTAAAGGCATGCACCACCACACCGGCATAAAGTTAAATCATTTTTTTAAATGAAGAAATCCATATCAAATCTTTTTTTTTCTTTAAGATTTATTTATTTTATGTATATGACTACACTATCACTGTCTTCAGACACCAGAAGAGGGCCTCGGATCCCATTACAGATGGTTGTGACCCACCAGATGGTTTCTGGGAATTGAACTCAGGACCTCAGGAAGAGCATATGGTGCTCTTAACCACTGAGCCATCTCTCCAGCCCCAGGTTAAATCTTTTAAAAGGTAAACTAGGTTATAAGTACCATGATGGTGGTGATTCTCAGCATCTTGTAAGACCTTTCTGTATGCTGAGCACTACTCTAAAGGTTTTTCTTACGTTAATCCATGTAATCCTTTCAGTAGCCCTATAAATAGATACATTAACTAGCTTGACTGTGCTGATCATTGCATACAAAACATTACCTTGTATACCTTAAATATCTAGTTGTGTTTTTTAATAGCCTTAGGAGGTAAGACTGTTTTCAGCTCTTTTACAGACAAGGAAACTAAGCGATGGATGGATGGATGGGTGGATGGATGGATGGATTCATACATGAAAACATGTTGTCTTTAGGGAGGGAAAAGAAAAGAAGGGAAAGACATGGTGAGTTAGGGCTTTTATTTTATGTTTTTCATTCACTCTGAGCATGTGTGTGTCTGTGTGTGTGTAAGAGGACAACTAACTGTAGTTGGTTCTTTCCTGCCTTCATGTGGATTCCAGGTAACCAGTCCTCATGTTCCATGCAAGTGCCTTTATCTTCTAAGCAGTCTCACCAGCCCTAAATATCTATGTTTTTAAACTCTGAAGCATTGGCAGGGCGGTGGTGGCACACGCCTTTAATCCCAGCACTTGGGAGGCAGAGGCAGGCGGATTTCTGAGTTCGAGGCCAGCCTGGTCTACAGAGTGAGTTCCAGGACAGCCAGGGCTACACAGAGAAACCCTGTCTCGAAAAACCAAAAAAAAAAAAAAAAACCAACTCTGAAGCACAATACAGCATTTGCATCTGATGATGTAGGCCATGGGCATGTAAATTATTTTCCATATTTATTTTAGGGTTACAATATTCCATGATATTTTTTTACATCTTTATTTACTCTCATTATGTGCATTTCTTTAAAAGGACAGCACTCAGAGGACAGCTTACTGAGGTCAGTTCAGTCCTACCCTGTGGGTCCTGGGAATTGAACTCAGGTCATGTGACTTGGCTGATACACACCTTTATCCCATGGGTCATTTTGCCAGCCCTTTTATCATTTTTATTTGAACTATTTTTTATGTGATCATAGATCTGCATGCACTTGTGACAGTTTAAAGAGATCTTGTCATGTACGCTTGACTCAGTATCTCAGCCAAGATCCTGACAGTGATGCAATCCCCCTATCTTGCTTAAATTGTCTTTTTTTTTTTAACTTATACACAACTGTGTGTATGTGTATGTTAGTTCTGTGTCAGTTCATAGGTTCATATAGCCAGTAACACAGTTATGATACTGTTTCTTTCGATGTACATATCTTTATATTGCAAACTTATTACTATCCCTGCCCCCCTAAACACATACCACCCCTAGCAGCCATTAGCCTCTTTTCCATTTTGCCCTTTCAAAAGTATGTAAATGGATTCATATGGTTTGTGCTCTGTGAGGATTGGCTTTTTTCACTTAGGGTAATTCCATTAAGAGCCATAGCTTATTTGGTAGCCCATGCTTTTTATTACAATGGCAGTTCATAGTGTGGATATGCTAATGTTTCTATTTGAGCTGTTTCCAGTTTAGAGCAGCTGGAGTAAAGCTGCTATGAACAGTAGTGTACATGTTTGTGTGTAAATACAGGCTTTTATTTCCCTGGCTGAGTGCTCATAGTGCTATCACTGGGTCATATTATAAGTGCATAGCTGATTTCATAAGAAACTAACTGCAAACTTTTCCAGAGTAGCTTCACCTAGTTTGTAATACCTAGAAGGGATTTCAGTGGGTAGGACAGATATTTGGAAGCAGAAGTCTGGAATCAGAAATGCACTCTGAGTTCATAGGCAGCAAAGTGCTTTATGTTGCTGGACTGGAGTCTGAGTTGAGCTGAAGAGGAAACACAGGTTTACCACTCTTTAGCTTACTGAGACCTCACGTGCTCCAAGCACTGGTGAAGACAGACAGAAGGCACTGGCACTGGAGCCTAGTCTAGCAGAAGAGAAGATATATGGAAAGATTGCAGAAAGGATTCTGTGTGGTGGGGAAGAGTCTTGAGAGGGTGTGCTGGGGTTATCTGAAGACCTTTGGTATATTACATGAGGGTAGGGACTATGCTGGTCTCATTCTTCTGGGTCCTGACATAAACAGTAAGAATTTGCTAAGTATTGAGTGACTGGCTTAATCCCATGTGCACAGTTCCTACGACCTACAAGTAGGACCAACATTATCTGTGTAAGCAGCTTCATGTTTCAGTCCTGCTGTGTGGGTAAAAGGGCAGGGCTGGGTCCAGACACCCCACCCTGGAATGAATTACCACACCACAGATTGGAAGCCAGCATGATATAGTAAATGTTGGAATGCTCTACAGTAAATTTTTAATTGTTAAACAAGCAAAGAAGGTTGTAAATTCCGTGTGGCTGGAACAGTATTGCATATTGTGCCTGCTGTCTCCACCAAGGTTTCTTATCAGCCAGTTGAGATTTCACAACCTCTCTTGTCTCTTGCTTGTTATAGGGGCCTCTCCACAGGGTCTCTGGGGCATGGTGCAATGCCAGCCCTTTTCCCGTGGGGGTGGCATCAGGGCTCTTTTCGAATCCTATCTGACTTCCCCTTGTTCCATCTTATGCCTAGATTCCCTCCAAAGGAGCATCCAGTGCTTGCACTGCCAGGGGCCCCAGCCCAGTTCCCTGTCCTGGAGGAACACAGGGAGCTCCAGAAGTACATGGTATGGTCAGATGAGATGGTGAGGACAGGGGAAGCCCAGATCAGCGCACACCTTGTCCGGCCCTATGTGGGCATTCATCTGCGCATTGGCTCCGACTGGGTAACTTCCTCTTCCTCTCTCTAGCTGGCATTTGCCTAAGCAGAGCCCAGGCCTGTAGTGAGTGGTGGGGACTCTTAGCTTGGGGCAGAGACAGATAACTCCACCAAGTCTGGGTTTTTATCTCACGATCTTGCTACTGCAGCACACGTCAGAAGTGTGTGTGTGGAGCTCCTGCTGGACAGCGAGCATTTAACAGCTGCCATTTGTACCTTTGTGTTTGCACATGGGTAAACTGGGGCATTATAAGTCGGATCCCAAGCTAGGGAGTCCTCTGCCTCAGTTCAGTGGTTAGCCAGTTAATTGCTATTGCGAGGGAACTATGGAGCCTGCGTGACGCACACCTTTGGTCCCAGCACACAGGGATGCAGAGGCCAGCCTGGTCTACAGAATGAGTTTCGGGACAGCCAGGAATACACAGAGAAACTCTGTGTTGAGGAAGAGAGAGAGGGAGAGAGGGAAAGGGAGGGAGGGAGGGAGGGAGGGAGGGAGGGAGAGGGGGGGCGGGGGGGAGGGAGGAAGACAGAGAGAACTGTGTAAACCAGGTGGGCTCCTTTTCATCCTCCCAGAATTTATGTAGAATGCCCCAAGAAAAATACACACGTAGTCATCTCACTAGAGGATAAGGAAGAGCTTGATAAAAAGAGTCAAGGACTTGAGAAAAACTCCTAACTAGCCAGAAATAGCCTCGACCCACCTCAGCCAGATAAAGCCTATCTCCCTGGAACCTGTAGCAAACCTGTGCCTCGGGAGTGATCAGAAGTCCCACTTCATCGGGAATCAGATAAGCCTCCCTTATCAGCAGTGCTGAGCTCTACTGAAGTCCCAGATAACAACGAGAGCAGAAAAAATGCTTTTCAACCCCACTCAGAAATAACCAGTGTTGCTGCTTTTGCATGGCCCCACCCCCAGGGTTCTTTGTAGCCCAGGTTGGGCTCAAACTCACTGTAGTCAAAGCTTTCCTTAAAACCTCATGATCTTGCCTTCTCCACCTCCCATGTGCTGAGATTACGGGTCAGCCTCGCCACTCCTGGGTTTTCCCTTAGTGCTATTAATACATATGTAGTAGCACTGGGTTCAATACACACACATACATACATACACACACACATACATACATACACACACACATACACAAACACACATACAGAGAGAGAGAGAGAGAGAGAGAGAGAGAACGAGAACGCACACAGTGGAACGCTAACCTCCTCTGTAGCACTCCTCTGTTCCCCTGTTCCTGTGTTGGGGTGCAAGACAGCTGCTTCTCTAACCCTGTGCCCTCCACCCCTTCCTTTAGAAGAATGCCTGTGCCATGCTGAAGGATGGGACTGCAGGGTCACACTTCATGGCTTCCCCTCAGTGTGTGGGTTACAGCCGCAGCACAGCGACCCCCCTCACCATGACCATGTGCCTCCCTGACCTGAAGGAAATCCAGCGGGCTGTGAAGCTTTGGGTGAGAGCACTGAATGCCAGGTCGGTCTACATCGCCACAGACTCTGAGAGCTATGTATCAGAGATCCAGCAGCTCTTCAACAACAAGGTGCGCCTGGTCCAGAGGGAGCAGAGCAGGGAGGGAAGAAACAAGAGGCTGCTAGTTCCACAACTCCTGTCCCTGCCTTGGGCTCCCCCCACCAGCTCCTTCTGCTCTGATTCCTAATGTTCCTTCTGTCCACAGCTCAAACATCTCTGTGAGCTCTTGCTAGTGTTCACTCCACTCCAGGAACTCATGTGGCCCTGCTGGAGCATCCCAGGCCCTAGTATAGACCTCCTCTTCTGTTTTCTGAGGTTTATCCTGGTGCTTTGACCTCTGGAGGCTGTCACCTGACTCTCATCACGGGGTCTAGGACAGTGCCTGACACACAGTGCAAATGTTTTGTTGAATAAGGACACAATGAACTCTGAAATGGAATGCACAATAGCTGAGAGTTTAAGAGCATATCTCTGTTTTGTTTTGGTTTTATTTTTGAAACAGGGTCAGGTGTCATGTAGGCTAAACTGGCTAAAAAATGTAATATGTAGCTGAGGATGACCTTGAACTCCTGGTCTCCTTGCTTCATCCAAGTGCCAGGTTCCAGGCTTGTACTCTTACTCCTGAGTAGAGAAATATACTGGAGACTTGAATTCTACTCATTCTGCAGCCTTGCGAAAAGTTACCTGACCCCTCTGAGCTGATTCCTCATTTGTAGAGTAGAACCAAATTGCGCCTGACTCCAACGGTGTTTGTAAAGATCTGTTTGTGAAAAGAAATGATGACGTTTCGCACTATAAAATAATGCTCAGTAAATCAGCTCTTGTTAGTACCAGAAATGAATGAAAGGGACGAGCTTTTGTGCTTGTGACTCAGCAGCAGAGTTTACTGTGGAGGGAGCAGCAGGTAAGGAGTGCGAGTGCCTCTGTGGTGGCCGAGTGACTGGCGAGAGCTCAGGAGACCGAGGTGGCTGAGGACCTCAGATGCTGGCAGTCCTACGAGGAAAATAGTAGAAAGATGATTTTTTAAAATGTGTGAGCAATGGCTCAGTGGTTAAGAGCACTGACTGCTGTTCCAGAGGTCCTGAGTTCAATTCCCAGCAACCACATGGAGGCTCACAACCATCTGTAATGGGATCTGACGCCCTCTTATGGGTGTCTGAGGCAGCTACGATATACTTATGTTTAATAAATAAATAAATAAATAAATCTTTGGGCCAGAGCAAGTGGGAGAAAGGAAGGGGAAAAAATAAAATGTGTGACCAAGAATAATGTGGAGGCTGTTAAGGAATTACGTAAAAGTGGTTCAAAGTTTGACTAAGGACTCTGACATTTAGAAATAAATAAGAGGTGACTGTGTACTTTATTAATACGAGTATCTAAAATCAAGGGGGAGGCAGACATTGGGAGCCACCGACCTTATGTGATGGGGCATCTTTCTGTTCTTTCACTTGCTCCACCCCCTAAAACATGAGAGATGGCCCCAACCAGCAAGCAAGTGTGTGGTCAGTGCCTGCTGTCTGCCCTGCCCACTTCCTAGATAGAAAATCAGCTGAGAGACCTCAAGGTCCTTCACTCTAGCTACCCCTGTGTGCTGTAGATGAGGACGTCTGCCCAGAAGGGGCAGAGTTAACTGAGAGGTCCCAGAGCCAAGGGCGGCTGGAATGACAGAGCTGGTAATTCAGGGAGTGGATGGGACTGTTTGGGGGCTTTTGGCTGAGATTAAAAGATAGTGTGTTTAACAATCCAGGAAGCGAGGCTCCTGATGTCAGAAAGCTTGGTGAACAGCAGAGCGCTTCCAGGCAACTCTGCCCACCCCTCACCTGCACGGAGCTGAGGCGTGTGGAGAGTCCCAGGGGGTTTTCATGAGCTTTAGGGTTGATGCACTTATTAGTTAGGCCTTGAGCCTCTTGTTATTGCCTACTTCCTGTTCCTGTGCTGGTGTTCTTCTTGCCCTACCCCCACCCCACCTCCACGCCTCAGCCCTGTGTTCTGTGGCTCATTGCTCCACCCGACTCCTCAGCCCCATTTCCCGTGGGCTCACATTCTACTCTCCTCCCCTTCTTGATGTGTGACATTTGTGTGTGTGTGTGTTTCCACACACGTATGCAAATGTGTGTGTGGAGGCAAGAGGGCAACTTCAGGTACCGTTTTTTGTTTTGAACAAGATCTTCTTATTGACCTAAGACTTACCAAGTAAGCCAGGCTGTCTAGCCAGCCAACCCCAGGAACTGCCTGTCTCCTTTCCAGTGCTGGGATTTTGAGCACATACTAAACTAGCATACTTTAAAAAAAAAAAAAAAAGTCTCACTGTGCCGCTGTGGCTGGCTTTGAACTCAAGATCACCTCCCTCTGCTGGGGATCAAACTTAGGTCTTTTTGCTCTGACAGAGCAGCTTCACCAGCCGCCTACCTTTGTTGAGAGCAAAGCCTCACACTATTAAGCTGGGACCTCAGTGAATGGGATGTAGTCCTGCCTTCAGGGTCACAGCCTAGACTGGGAAAAGACTGTGGGTGAACCAACAAAAGCCAGGACAAGGCTTGTTCAACCTGAGTTCTTTGAGACTAAGCAGAGCAACAAAGGTCCAGTACAGGTCCAGCAGGACACGGGGTTAACAGAGAAACACTGAAGAGTTAGAACTACAAACAGCCGTGTGCTCCAAGTAGAGGTGGTGGGGCTCTTAAGGGTAGAGCACAGCGCACTGAGCTGGTAGGCAGGAGGGAGGGAGGGAGGGAGGGAGGGAGGGAGGGAGGGAGGGAGGGAGCGAAAAAGGGAGGGTGGGCTTCCCCCAGTGTGTGCCACATGACTGGAGAAGGGAAGGGTAAGAAGAATTAGCCAAGTAAAGAGAGGTTTACCCTCATGTCTTTTTTTTTTTTTTTTTTTTTGGTTTTTTGGGACAGGGTTTCTCTGTGTAGCCCTGGCTGTCCTGGAACTCACTCTGTAGACCAGGCTGGCCTCAAACTCAGAAATCCACCTGCCTCTGCCTCCCAAGTGCTGGGATTAAAGGCGTGCACTACCACCACCCGGCCTTTACCCCCATGTCTTAGTTAGAGTTACTAGTGCTGTTATAAAACACTGTGGCCAAAAGTAACTTGGGGAGGAAAGGGTTTATTTGGCTCACGGTTCCACATCTCTGTTCATCATTGAAGGACATTAGGACAGGAACTCAAAAACAGAGCAGGAACCTGGAGGCAGGAGCTGATGCAGAGGCCATAGAGGACTGCTGCTTTCTGGCTTGCTCCTTATGGCTTGCTCAGCCTGCTTTCTTATTAGAACCCAGGACCACCAGCCCAGGAATGAGCCCACCCACAATGGGCTGGGCCTTCCACACACCAATCACTAATTAAGAAAATGGTCTATAGGGGCTGGAGAAATGGCTCAGCAGTTAAGAGCACTGACTCTTCGTCCTGAGGTCCTAAGTTCAATTCCCAGAAACCACATAGTGCCTTACAACCAACTGTAATGGGATCCGATACCCTCTTCTGGTGTGTCTGAAGACAGTGACGGTGTGCTAACATACAGAAAATAAATAAATCTTTTTTTAAAAAAAGGAAAGGAAAGGAAAGGAAAAGAAGGAAGGGAGGGAGGGAGGGAGAGAGAAAGAGAGAGAGAGAAAGAGAGAGAAAGAAAGAGAGAGAGAGAGAAAGGGAGAAAGAAAGGGAGAAAGAGAAAGAAAGGAAGGAAGGAAGGAAGGAAGGAAGGAAGGAAGGAAGGAAGGAAGGAAGGAAAGGAGAAAGAAAAAAGTCTGCATTCTTGCCTCCAGCTCAAGGAGGCAATTTGGGAATATTTTCTCAACTGAGGCTCCCTCTGCTCTGATGACTCTAGCTTCTGTCAAGTTGACATAAAACCAGCCAGGACACTCCATAAAGGAACAGCTATGTAAAGACCCTGGGGAGAAATGGGAGGAGGAAGGGAGCTTGGCAGTCTGTAGCAGGAGCTCTAAGGACTGGGTGGTGAGAGAGCCAGCCTGAGCAGGCTCATCAGGTGCGTTGCTGATCTGGTGTCCTTTCTGAAAGCAGTAGGGTACCTGTAAAGGGTCTGCAGCTTGGAGAGCAGGAGGGTGAGGACATGGGATCTAAGAAATTTCTTTTGGCAGTTGTATAGTGACCAGACCAGGAGAGGCTGTGAGGGACAGCAAAGAGGCCGCTGAAGTTGGTCAGGCCCAGGGCAGGGTAGACCCTCAGAGGAAGTGACAGAGATCTCAGGGGTGGGTAGATTGGACAGGACATGGGGCCTGGCAGGGCTGCTGGAAAGAGGAGGGCATCCAGGCAGCTGGGTGAGATGGCTGTGTGCTTCCTGCTCCCATGACCAGCTTGAGGGAAGCCAAGCAGGCAGCACGTAAGCCAGCTTGAGGGGCTTCTTGGGAAGATTGTTTGATGATGAGGGTAGAACCGAGGGCCTTGTGCCTCGTGAGGTCATACTGTACACATAAGTATACCTCCAAGCCTGGGCAGCCTTTAATGAGTTGTGAGGGCACTGTAGGGTAGACAGAGGAAGGATACCAGTGGAGTGGTACTGAGGGAGCTGGCCTGGGAGACGGGACTCAGGTGGTCACACTTCAAAAACACTGATCCCAATCTCCATTCTCTCCAATCTTCTCTTGGTCTAAAACTTCAATCAGGAGAGGAATGTTGAGGGTGTGGCCTATTAGTCTTGGCTCAGCAGACCTTGGCCTGAGGCACCTGCTAATGTCTTACCTTCCTCCCTGCAGGTGAAGGTGGTGAGCCTGAAACCCGAGGTGGCCCAGATCGACCTGTACATCCTTGGCCAGGCTGACCACTTCGTTGGAAACTGTGTCTCCTCGTTCACTGCCTTTGTGAAGCGGGAGCGGGACCTCCATGGGAGGCAGTCATCCTTCTTTGGCATGGACAGACCCTCCCAGCTTCGGGATGAATTTTGATCCCATCTGGAGTCCCCCAACCAGGCTTGGCTGCTAAGGTTGCTCCTGGGACTGGACATGCTCCTTTTCTCTCCTGTCAGAGATGGAGAACAATACCAAGGACTTCCCAGAAGAGAAGGCATTCCATCCCAGGCATTGGCTCCCATGCCCCACAGCCAGAGCCACTCTGAGCTGTGTGTGCTTCCAGAGAACTTGCACATACGAAGCAGCCCACCTCTAGCCTGGGGCATGCCCTGCTGTGAGTGGGCTGCAGTGCTCTCTCTTGAGCAGTTACTTTATAAAGAGGAAGATTTTTTTTTATAGGGTTTCTTGGTTTGGGGTTTGGGGGAGGAACAAAGGGGTAAGGTTAAGATGATCTCTTATAGCCCAGGCTGGCCTTGAACTCCTGGTCCTCCTGCCTCTACCTCCTAAGTGCTGAGATTACAGGTGTCTACCGTGACACTCAGTTGATCTCTGTATTTTTGATGCAAAGCCATGACTACCTGAAAACTCCCCTTTTTTTAAAAAATCAGTGGAATCTATTAGCACAGTTACCTAAAGTGACCTTATAAATGCAGACAGAGCCAAGGAGCAGGTGGGCCTATTGGTTGCTTATCCAGGGGTCCCCCAAAGGGCCTACAGACTTTCCCACTGCCAGGCCCAGTCACTGTCATCCCTGGGCTCCTCTGTTGTGAACACAACAAGCAGGAGTCAGCAGTCGTGTGGTACAGTGCTCTGAGGACAGGTACATGCTCGCACAGTGTGTGGCAGTGTAGCCTCAGCTCATCACTGCCCTGGTGAGCCTGGCAGGGTGCTCTGAAGGCTACTGTCTGTAAGACCCTCCCAGCCTCTGCTCTGTGGTCTCAGCCCTCAGCAGCTATTCCCCACGGACTGCTCACCAAGCCTCTGACAAGTTCACACATAGAGGCCATGTGAACCCCCAGCCTGGGAGCAGTCTTTGCCTCTCCAGCCAGTGCACTGCCTTCCAGTGTGGTGAGGGCCTTCTGATGCTGCCGTTCTCCTTTGTAAGAAGTGAATTCTAGGTGAAATGAATTCAGTGGTTCTAGAGTCTGCCTTGTACAGGGACATTTAGAGGCTGGAGCCCCAGTGGGTGACCTTGCAGACCATCCTGATTGGCACAGTATTTCTGAAGAGTAGGTTCTGGGGCTCTTGTCTGTGGCAAACACTGTACTCTTTGACCCAGTTTCTCCCCTGTAAGTGCTGAGTCTGGTGGGTTATAAGCTTCAAGTCAGCTAGTGAGAGTTGTAAACCTGGAACAGAACAAGACCCCTATGTGGCCGTTGTAGAGTTTAACAACAGTTAAACAGTTACCAGTTTTCCCAGGCTAGGCACTGTGCTGGTGCCTTATGGTTATCCTCTTATTAGTTTGTCCCTGGTATTATCAATTTTCTTTCTGAAAAAAAAAAAAGAAAGAAAGAAAAAGAAAGGGGAGAGAGAGAAAGAGAGAGAGAGAGAGAGAGAGAGAGAGAGAGAGAGAGAGAGAGAGAGAGAGAGGAAAAGTGAATGCTCAGAGAAATTTTCTCCCAGGGCTGCACAGCTGTGGGTGGTAAGCCAGACCCGACCTAAGGAGTCCGTTCTGTCAGCCACTGGGCTCTGGGTGTTGCCTCCCAGGACACAGTGTGCACTGAAGGCCACCCTGACTGCCTCTGCATATTGCTATTGGCTTCTGCTGCCAGCCTAGTAGGAAGCGGCATAAGAAACAGGAAGCCCTGGATAGTTCTGGATAGTTAGTTATAGTACCTGATTTCATTCAGGAAATGTTTACTGATTGCCTACTGTGTGCTAGGAAGGAGGGTTGCAGCTAAGAAAGTCTCAGGGGATCGGGACTGCCATCAGAAAGGAAAACAGCATGGTGCTGTGAAGGGGAAGTGCCCTGAGGAAAAGCCAAGGGCTTTTTTTTTTTTTCCAGGGCACAGGGAGCTCTGTTAAAGGGATCTCCTTAAGGAGTGAAGGGGAACTTCCTCAGCTAAGCACAAGCTTTCCAGCAGCAAGCATGACACGTGCCAAGGCCCTGAGGAGGCAAAGGCAGGATTGGGCGCAGCAAGGGAACATCTGTAGATGACATCATCTCATGGATTCACTTTGTTTGGGACCAAAGAGAGATGTGACCTATTTATGAGGACCCTGTACTTGTGCTTGAAGAAGTAGGAGAGGGGGAGTAGAGCAGAGGCTGGTGCTGCCTGTGGGTGAGAGGCTAGGCCATTGTGCTGGAGGTGGAGGAAGAGATCACATTCTGAGTGCATCAAGTCATTTTTGTAATTCAGTCTCTTTTTAAAGATACCAGTCTACATAACCGTGCAGTGTATACTTAATGTCTTGGTCTCTTTTTTTTTTTAACATAACCACACATTATATTTTCCCTGTGTGAACATAGCTAATAGATGCTTTTAATTATGTAAACTTCCACTGAGGGGTGTTTCGTAGTTTGTGATTCATCTTCTGTGAGATCAATTCCCAGCTGTAACTATTGTTTTTTTCCAAGACAGGGTTTCTATGTGTATCCTCCACTGTCTTAGAACTACTAACTCTGTAGACCAGGCTGGTCTCTAGTTCGCAGAGATCACCTACCTCTGTCTCCTGAGTTTCTGGGATTAAGTGAGCACCACCATTGCCCAGCTGCTGTTGTGATTTGAAAACTACTGCCTACAATGGTTTTTCTTTAAGATACAAATTATGATAAATTCCCAGAAGTGGATTGTTCAATACAAGAATTTAGATGATAAGAAAATTCAACTGTGCTCAAAAATTGTGACTTTAAAACACTGAGCTCATGTTGGGCGGTGGTGACGCACCCCTTTAATCCCAGCACTTGGGAGGCAGAGGCAGGCGGATTTCTGAGTTCGAGGCCAGCCTGGTCTACAGAGTGAGTTCCAAGACAGCCAGGGCTACACAGAGAAACCCTGTCTCAAAAAACCAAAAACAAAAAAAAACAAAAAAAAAACCCTGAGCTCACAGTATTAACAATTCATTTTATCAGCTAGCTTCATTTATTTCCCACTCCTAGTCTGTCTGGAGACTTCTGTTGTTTGTTTTATTTTGTACTTTGTGGTAGGGTCTTCTGTTGGCTAGTCTGGCCTGGCAATCTTGATGTAGCCCAAGCTTATCATGAAATCCTAATCCTCCTGTCTCAGCCTCACAAGTGCTGTGATTACAGTTGTGAGTCGTCTCACGTTGATTCCTCATGATCTTTAAATGAATCTTCACGGATGCCCAGGGAAGTGCCAACAGGATCTGCTGTAGTGAGGAAGGAAGCCTGAGCCCCAGGAGGAGGTCGAGCTCAGGCAGGCCTGTTCTCTCCCATGCTGCTTCTCAGATTCTAGGTGAAGAGGCAGTGAGTGTCTTCTCTGTGGAGTCCTGCAGGACAAGGCACTGAATGCCCCCAGGAACATGCATTTTTACAAGCTCCTGTAAAGGCCCAAGGCCTACAGTATAGTATCATCCAGATATAAAATCCCAGTTGAGTCGTTTAGATCCAGCCTGTACTCTCAGCTACTTTGGAGGTTGAGACAGAAGAATCACATTCTAGGCCTACCTGGCAACTTAGGTGAGAGACTGTCTCAAAATAATAAGACTTGAAAAAGGTGGGGTGTGGTTGAGTTGGCCGAATGCTTGATCACCACAGCACAGCCCTCAGGAGTACAGGAAAAAGTATCCCAGTTACACAGGATGCAGTGTCTTGGCCACACTGGCCTGACAACAAAGGGGGGACTTGGGAACAAGCATTTGGGTTCTGTTTTGGCTGGTTTTTGTCAACACAAACTGGAGTCCTCTGAGAGGAGAACCTCAGTGGAGAAAATGCCCCTATCAGATTGTCCTGTAGGCAGACCTGTGGGGAATTTTCTTGATTGGTAATTAATATTGAAGGGCCTAGCCCATTATGGATTAGGCCCTTTGAACAGGCGGTCCTGAGATGGACAAGGGAGTAAATGGAAGGCTGGGTGTGGTGTCGCTTTTAATCCCAGGACTGGGCAGGCAGAGGCAAGTAGATCTCTGTGAGTTCAAGGACAGCCAGGTCTACATAGTTCTAGGACAGCCAGGGCTCGAAGGATCTGGAGCAAACCAGTAAGCAGTGCTCCTCCATAATCTACATCAGTTCCTGTCTTGGCCTCCCTTCATGATGGACCATAAAACCTGTAACGTGAAATAAAGCCTTTTCCCACTGTGTTACTTTGGTCGTGGTATTCCTCACAGCAGTAGAAAGCAAATTAAGATTCCAAGCCTGGTGTCCTTTCCAAAGGATCATACAGTCTCAAACCCTCAGTTTCACAGTTGAAGAGGAGACAGTGGTAAAGTGGAAATTTCTAGTTCTTTGGAAAGTTAGTTATGTCAAATGATGTTTTGTTGGGGCACACAGGTAAAAGGATGTCTTGTTATTTGTTTTTTCGAGACAGGGTTTCTCTGTGTAGCCTGGCTGTCCTAGAACTCACTCTGTAGATCAGGCTGGCCTTGAACTCAGAAATCCACCTGCCTCTGCCTCCCAAGTGCTGGGATTAAAGGCGTGTGCCACCACTGCCCGGCAAGGATGTCTTGTTAAAGCAAACACGTGAAAGACTTTTCCTGAAGCAGACACGGAAAGAATGTTTGGATGTAGCAGACATGTGAAAGGATGCTTGATGAAGGAGTATAAATATGGCTCCACAGACAGTGGGAGACGAGCACTGAGCTTTGGTTTGGTTTGCTCCGCCTCACAATTCTTCGATAAAGACACAAGGTAACGCTGTCTTTGAGAAAAACTTGCCCAAAAACTGCTCATGAGGTTCCTGCGACAGCTTGCCACTTCCACAGCCTCACCTCAGGCCGAGTGGCAAGCCTGGTCATTTCTTCAGGATTGGACTATAGCTACCTGGTCGCTGCTGTGAGGACTGGACTGAAGCTGTTGGTTTGTTTGTGCTTAGTATCTGCCTGCCTAGAGGACTGGTCTGCAGCTGCTGAGTTGTATTTGGTGTTTGCTATGGGACTGAACTGCTGCCAAAGAAGATCGAGCTCACCTCCAAAGAACTATTGCTGAACAGATCCACTTCCCCCATATCCTAGTAACTTTTCTCTTCACTACCTCTGCTGGGTGGTGGGCTAGAGGAGAGGCTGAACCCTTATTAAAAGTAGGTTGCAAAAAATGTGTGCCTACACAGTGATTCAGAGTAGGACAGAGCTTTGTCACCAACAAGTTGTCTCTCACTGTCCCCTCCGCCCTCTCTCTGAGCTTTACTCCCAGAAGTCTAATCCTCTGGAGGCAGGAGGGGTTTCCTCCCCACTAGACTAAGCTCTCAGGTTCCTGTTGGCTCTCTGGCAACAGCTGGGAGAGATGGTCTCACCCTGAGCAAACAATGTGGGAAAGCACAAGGAAATTTCTGGAAGGCAGTGCCCAGCGGGGCTGACCCATGCCTAGGACTGCTTCAACCCCTACTAAGGCCCTGCAAGTCTCCTTAGGTGTCTCAGGCAGGGTCCTTTATTTCTGGCAGCCTGTGCCCACTGCTCACAGTTGCAGAAACAGCTTCAGAGAGGGTGAGTGGCCTCATGGCCTGGCAGTGCTCTGTTATCACCAAGCATCCTCACTGTGTTGGCTCTGGCTGCAGGTTCAGTTCAGTTCCCCAGCAGGGAAGAGTGGAGTGACGTCATCCACAGGCTGAACAGGTTGGGGTGGTGTTAATATGGACAATTAAAAAATATTATTGTGTGCATATGACGGAGGTAGCAGCACGTATAAAGGCTAGAGAACAACTTTGTGGAGTCAGTTTTCTTTGGCCCTTACATGGGTTACAGGGATTAAAGACAAGTTTCAGGCTTGGGGGGCAAGTGCCTTTCCTTACCTGCTGAGCCATTTTACTGCTCTCAAGTATACTTTTTAATGTTCCATTACAATTAAATTTCTTCTGGCTGGAGAAATGGGTTAGTAGGAAAAATTCTTGCTGTGCAAGTATAAGGACCTAAGTTTGGCCCCCAGAACCCATGCAAAAAAGCTGGGAAGACTTAGCAGTTAAGAACACTAAACCTGCTAGTCTTATAGAAGACTTGGGTTCAGTTCCCAAGATCTACATGGTAGCTCACAACCATCTGTAACTCTAGTTCCAGAGAATCCAATGTCCCTCTTCTGTCTTCCATGGGCACTAGGCTCACTTGTGGTACACAGTCATATATGCAGGCAGTCACTTGTTCAATAAGCTATGATGATGAAAAAGATGATGAAGTTGGAAAGGATAAAAATGAAGAAGGAAGAAGGAAGGAGGAGGAGGAAGAAGAAGAAGCAGCAGCAGCAGCAGCAGCAGCCACAGACAGGAAGGATAGTGCATACCTGTAATCCCAGCACAGTCCAGGGGAGGCAGAGACAGGAAGGACCCTGGGAATCCAGTTTAATTGGTAAGAGGCTCAGACCCTATGTCAACAATGGTGGATGGAGTTGGGGAGATACTTCTGTAAGTTTGCTTGCGCAAGTCTGATGACCTGACTTGAGATCCCAAGAATACACCTAAGATAGACACGCAGCACATTTGTAATTCCACTGTGCCCTCTAAGGAATGGAAAGGGTCAACAGAACTGCTCTTAGACTAACTAGCCTGGCATATGCAGTCGTGAACGAAAGGAGAGACCCTGCCTCAAACAAGGCTTGAGTGTATCTTCTGACATGCTAACACATACACTTAGACACATCACAAATAGATTAGACATACATAACACACTGTACATACACATATATAAGATATACATTATATATACTATATATACAGTACACACACTAGTACATACACAACACATATACAACACATATACATTATACACATACAGTTATGCACACAAATCAGGAAGAGATTAAGGAAGATTCCCAACATCAACCTCTGGCTTATACACAATACACACACAAACACACACATACCATGTGTACTATAAAAATTGTAATTTAAAACAGGGAATGGTGTAATCCCATGGGGCACCTGGGAAACAGAAGTACATGAATCTTTGTTGGAGGCCAGCCTGATTTGCATAGCAAGCTCCAGGCTAGCCAGAGCTACATAATGAGAACTTGTCTCAAAATTTTAAAATTACAAAGTGATGAACGCAGAGGTACCACAGCCTCAGCCTCCCAACAGTGAGCCCTGGCGGAGGGGACTTCCCTAGACAGTGAGAATGATCCTCCTAGCCTAGGCTGTCACAAGTACCTCAGTGAGGGCACTTGGCAAATGTCATTTGTAGGAATTTATGTCTGTTCTTGTACTGCAGGGCAGGTGGTTAGGGTGGAGTGTGCAGCCCAAAGAGAAAACTGTCTCCTTGCTTAAGGACAGACCCAGATTCATGAGTAAACAAAAGGAATCCTTTGTTGTTGCTGCTGGGTTTTTTTTTTTTTGCTTTGTTTTGTTTGGTTTGTTTTTTTGTTTTTTTTTTTTTTGAGACAGGGTTTCTCTGTGTAGTCCTGGCTGTCCTGGAGCTCACTCTGTAGACCAGGCTGGCCTCGAACTCAGAAATCTGCCTGTCTCTGCCTCCCAAGTGCTAGGATTAAAGGCGTGCGCCACCACTGCCCGGTGTTGCTGCTGTTTTTAATGTTACATGTATGGGTGTTTTGCCTGCACATATGTCTGTACATCATATGCATGCCTACTTCCCACAAAGACAAGAAGTTGGTCTAGTCCTTAGGACTGAGTTAGCCACTGTGTGGATGCTGGGAATCAAACCAGGGGCTCTGAAAGAAAAACCCGTGGTACGTTTACACTACGTACATCTCTCCAGCCCCAGAGAAGCACAGTGGAGGAGAGACAGAAAAAAAGGGAGAAGGGACTGAAGGAGACTTGAGTTGTATCCTCACTTTGTATGTCCCTGATAACAGCAGTGAGCCAGTGCCCCCCTCAAAATAAAGCTGCCTTCTCCCCTTCTCTCTCCCCTCTCTCCTCTCCCTATGGGAGCTGAGGGGAACAATGATGGGGGAATGCTTGGGGTTAGAGGAAACCCAAGAGTACATGACCGTGAACAGGTAAGAAATTCTACGTTGTCAGATTTAATATAGATCTCTGCTTGAGAACTGGTTATTGAGGCTCGAACACTTTCTTTGAAATGTTGAATGCAGCAGCAGACAAGGGTGATAGATCTCTAACACAAGGACGGCAAGCATCACCAGGCAAGCAGTGCATAGAGCAGCATCAAAAGCTTTCTCCAAGCAGAGGAGAGGACTCCACCCCCAGCCCCACCCCAGTCTAGAATGTGTTGGTTTCCATTCTAAAGCCGTATGGACCTGACTAGTGCAGCCCTGAGAGCTTCTAATAAACCCTAGTTCAGTCACTGGCCAAGGTGCAACTCAGACAAGTCACAGCCTGTCATGACACCCAGCTCTGTGCCTCTAAGGAGAGGATGTCTTTGGCAGACTCCAGTATTCCCTTAAAGTCAAGTCCAAAAATGTTAAGATGAAATTCATCTTGTCTGTCCCAGTTTTCTTGCTTTGTGTTTTAGGTTTTTTGAGTCAGGGTCTCATTACTTAGCTCAGCCTGACCTGGAAATCACTGTGCAGTTCAGACTGGGCCTGACTTGGAGCAGTGTGCTGGACTCTGCCTCCCTCCTGTACAGCATGTTTTTATTGTCCAGTGTGTGTGGTGCGTGCATGCTTTTGGTATGTCTGTGTGAGCATACCCCCATGCTAGAACAGGACATCCCACAGCTTTCTCTATCGCTCTCAGCCTCACTAAAACTAAAGCTCTCCAGTGCTGCTAGACTAGCTGGCCAGTGAGTTCTCCACTTGTCTCTCCCAGTACTGAGGTTAAGGGCACGCACTGCCATGTCTGACTTTTTCTTGGCAGGTGGGGATTTGAACTCAGGTCATCATGTTTGCACAGTAAGTGCTTTTATAAACTGAGCCATCTCCCCAGGTTCTTGGCTTATCGTTTTAAATTTAGTTTTATTTCCCTTTTTCTTTTTGAGAAAAGATCTCACTGTATAACCCTGGCTGCCCTGGAACTCAGAGATCTGTCTGCTTTCAGAGTACTGGGATTAAAGGTATATGCCACAACACTCTGCAACTTGAATTTATTTTTAACAACAAAAAAAAGTCCATATTAACACCACCCCAACCTGTTCAGCCTGTGGATGACGTCACTCCACTCTTCCCTGCTGGGGAACTGAACTGAACCTGCAGCCAGAGCCAACACAGTGAGGATGCTTGGTGATAACAGAGCACTGCCAGGCCATGAGGC